TGCAGTGACCCCTGGCTGCCAAAGATCAGGGTAAGGCCACCCATGGGTGCCCACTTCTGAAAAATCTGAGCCTGAAGATGTTGGAACCATGTTCTTATGTCTAGAGATCCTTGACCTCCTTTCCTACAAGAGAGATCAGTGCGGCTTTAGGGTTGGCTTCACAGCTCAGTTGGCTTCCAGCCTAAGGCACCCCTTTCAGCTGATACTCCTTTCTGCAAGAGTCATCTCCCTAAATTCTCTCAGGAGCCCAGAGAGGGACCTTGGACAACACTGGCCCAGCAGAAGGGGCTGCCGAGCGCCTCCGCTCCCACTCAGCAGGAGAAAAGCTCTGGCACTACCAACAGGATTTATGTCAATGTGAACTGAGCTTGGCTTACTGTCTCATCTCCTCGATAAAGATGCTACTGCCACAGTGAAAGTATCCGGGAAAATCCAAGAGGATTTCCATCGAGAGCTGAGGTAAAATAAGTCCCACCAAGCCGGAGCAGTGCCCCCAAATCAGCCTGCTGCTCCGGACACCTGCCTTCAGCTCCATTAGTCCCTGCACACACCCTAGAGAGATTACCATCTTTATTTTCAAAAGCCCTGCACTCTGGCCTTCAGATCAGGTATTATTGTTTAAATTCTTTGACAGCTAGATATTCTGATGTATTTTCCACAGAGGGGAAAAAAAAAAAAGAGCGAAAGAGAAAAGATGTCTTTAGAGGGTGAGATCTTCTGCTACACGCTTTTGCCTTATTGGCCCATTTAACCTAAACCTTCCTGAAAACTCCCACTGGAAGAGACTGGAATTCCTCACACGTCTAGGTGAAAAGGATTACATATAGATGTTGAAAAGCTATCTCCCAGCTAAGAAAACACAAAGTCAGGGAGATATGTGAAGGTGGCAGAAAATATGCCAAATTATCTTTCAAATATTTCCTGGGAGTGGGAGGACAGAAGCCAGAGAAGCACAGTGAAAAAAGGAGAAAGAGGGCACCTGAGAGCTGTGAGGTTTACATGTACCTATCACAAAATCCTAAGCACCAGCCAGTTTCAGATAAATAAAGAGATAAATGGGAAAACACAATGAAGGTACAGAAAAAATGAGTACTTTGAGACCATCCACCATTGCTTTTTTTGCTATTTTTCTCAGGTAAAAATCCTGCAAAGAGAACCATGCAGAGAAAGAAATTACGCTGCCCACAGACCTCTTGAAGCGCAGCAGCTAAAACAGATTTCTTGGGGAAAAGGTTCTTGAAGAGGACCGAGATTTTGCTGCTTTTGTCACACTTCTTTTTCTGATGCAATTACAAAAGCAGGGAGACCGCTCTCAGCATTTGAAACTATTTCCCGCCGAGGAAGAGGAAGGATGTACAGACACACGGAGCCTGCGACCATGCTGCCCGTGATGGCGAGCAGCTTTCCAATTCAGTCACTCTGGTGCTGTGAACCGAGACAAAGCCTGTTTCCATAGTCCACAGCATATACTGCATCTGATGGGAAAAGAAAATTTACTCTCTGGTAAGAATGAACTTCTCAGTGTGAACCCCAGCACGGCCAAGGGTGCTCAAAATAGTTGAAACCTGGTCAAACCTGGCCTATTCCTACCAAAACCACATGAATCCTTTACTTGACCACAACATTGGAGAGAATGACCCTGTCTTCACATTCATGATGTAATGATGAGGGAATAATGCCAAAATTAGGTAAAGTCTGGAGGGTTTAATAAAGCCCACAGGCTATGAAAAAATGAGGGAATCTCGGCTGCATCCTCAAGTTTTGTTTGCACACTTGCACATTCCTCCAAACTGTATCTTTTTAAATAGTTACAACCTGCACAACCCAGCTCCCTTCTCAGTTATTCAGGTGCAAATCAGGAGTAACCACTGAAATCAATAAGGCTGGTGCTCAGGCAGGCAGAGCTCCGACCCACATACCACTGCAATTAGCTCATCGCATCTGTCTTGAGAGAGCACAGGATATGTATGTCGAATTATTAAAAGGGATGGCAGTGGGGAGGAGGAGTAAGAGCAGCTCCAAGAGCCAGGCTCCAGGTATTTTC